ATTAACAAGTGGGTGGAACAGAAAACCAACGACAAGATCAAAGGACTTATCCCTCCTGGAATGCTAAGTTCTGACACAAGATTGGTTCTGGTGAATGCAATTTACTTTAAAGGTTTATGGCTTCAACCATTCCTGAAGGAAGAATCTTTCCCAGGGACCTTTTTTGTGGCTGCAAACCAAAAAGTACAAGTACAAATGATGCGCCAAGAAGCCCATTTCAAGTTCTTCGAATCAAAGGAACTTGGCTGCCAAATACTCGAGATGCCATATATAGGAAGTAAGATGTCCATGGTAATCTTCCTTCCTGTAGAAACCGATGGCCTGGGGAGTTTAGAAGGAAAGATCGCCTATGACAACTTTAAGAAGTCTCTGTCTACCCTTGATTCCTCAAGACCTGAAGAAATGGAAGTGTTTCTGCCCAAGTTCAAGTTAACACAGCAGTTTAGTCTGAATGATGTCTTGTCAAAAATGGGAGCGAGTGAAATGTTCATTGCTGGCAAGGCAGACTTCAGTGGTATCACAGCAGATTCACTGTATGTTTCAGAAGTGGTTCATAAAGCCTTTATTGAGGTGAATGAAGAAGGCACAGAGGCTGCCGCTGCTACTGGTATTGGAGTCAATGCATTGAGTTTAAAGCCCATGTTTAATGCCGACCATCCATTTTTGTTCTTTATCCGCCACAATGATATTGGTGCCATATTGTTCATGGGTCGTCTCCTGAAACCAAGTGAAGATTGATGTCCCATTTATCAATCCTTTCTCACAAATTAAATTAAACTAAATTAAATTAAATTAGTGTCCATCAACTGAAGTCTTTTTTGTAGGTGAAAATGATTTCACATTAGAGCAACAAATTAGGTGCCTTGACTGGTTGGTACCAGCTAAGCTATGTGGGTAGTTTGATATCCCACATAATAACATTAACAGTCGTGAGAGCTTGTTACTGTTTACCTGAAATTTATATCAAAGAAAATTTGACAAAGACTAACCCCAGTAGTTCAAATTCATACAAACAAAATAGTAATTAATTTATTAATGTACTAAGACAGTGACAAGTGACATGGTTAAAATAAAGAAATAGATGTGGTTTTAGTTTATAGAGTAAGTTCATGATCTCCTGCTTAGTTTAAATCCGAAATTCATTGAGCTAAAAATTCACATTTGATGTGAATTAAATGTTAAATTCAAAAACTGATGCAATAGTACCTTAAGCGTCCTGCTGCCAAGATTACCCATATAAACGCACATTTGATCATATTGTCCGACGGAAAGAGTGGAACAATGCTATCACAGGTTTTGTAGAAAATAAAAGACAATTGCGTCCTTTGTCTGTTGTCAATAAAACCCTAGCAAATGCCAGTTGGCAGTTAATGTTTAGACGATTTGTCAGTTATCAGTTAAAATTTTGGCCATTTGTCAGTTGTCAGATAACCCTATCCAGACCCTCTTTGAATGACTAATAATAATATTTTATTTAGATAGATATATATATATCTAAATAAAATATTATTATTAGTCATTCAAAGAGGGTCTGGATAGGGTTAACTGATAACTGACGAATGGCCAAAATTTTAAATTTTAAAAGTTTTTTTCAAACGACTATCTATTAACGTACCGTTTAATCTATGTATTACTCCGACATGCAGAATTTATTTCATATCATGTAATCTCTGTATCAAGCAGAGTTTTTGAAAACGAACCTAGAAAGTTGCCGCCATTTGAGTGAAAAACGCTCCAAAAGGAAGGATTCTTTTGCCTCCGAGAAGTTCGAAAATCACAGCAGCGAATAAAAAGGAAAGGAGAAAAACACAAAGCAAGGAGGAAGAAACGGGGAGAAGAGAAAACAGCAATGGTTGCATTCTTAATTGTTTTTATAATAGCTACTTTAGAGAAAATAACTGTTTGACGGAACTGGTCTATTTGGCGGAACGTTTGCAAAAATCCGGTGAGATATTCTAAAGGAACAAAAACAGCTGTCTGTCTTGTTTTCTAGGTTGTCTATTAGTTTTTGTTCTTGTAAATATGACCCAGGCTGGGAGAATGGTATGGGATTATTGTTACTATCATAATGATAAACAAATTTTAGCAGCGGGTTGGTTACTTTTTTATACTGAATTCTGTACTGCCCACTACAAAACTACAACGAGGCTTTATGAAGAACCTTTACTCACTGTTGGTACCCGTTATCTGTTCATCTTTCTCCCTAAGTAAGGGAATCCGGATTCCGAAATCCGTGAAATTGTTGCATGTGGAATACGAAATCCAAGAAAATTTTGCTAGCGGAATCCGGAATCTTGGGCTTTTGGAATCCGAAATACAACCCAAGGAGTCCGAAATCCCACTAACAACTAAAATCCAGTATCCAAGTTCCACACTGATAAAAACTGGAATCTAGTACATGGACTCCGGAATCCACTGTCATGGATTCCCTTTCCTGGAGCGACACCTTTTTAACGTAGAATAATCTAAAAGGCACAGGCAGACAAAACAACTAATATTTCATCTACATTATTCATTTATTTCCTTTGTTTGTGACCATGGCCTCTTCATGACTTCACTTCCACTAATCTGAATTTCATATATCGAAAGAGGTCGCAGGGTCAATGTCGAGATCCTATGTGCAGGGCTGTCAACTACGGTGGCCCAAAAGTGTCACGGCAATTTCAATTTACTGTCGGCAATTTATATTTTACTCACGGCAATTTTAAAAAAAAGTGTATACCAGCCATAATATTCCATTTTCTGTGCCCAAGTCGGTATATGATTTAAGGGGGCATCCTCTGTGCTCTTGAGCAGCATCCAGATAATACGCAGCTATGTTGTACCACATGAGCTCATGGGTAGGTTGTCAGAAAGCGTGACACACAGCCAAAGTACTTTCCTGTTTATACCATGTATCGGATATCTATATCATAACCGTCTACATGCCAAACCTTCAGTTGGGCGTGGGCAGGTTGACTCCCGACTGTGTGTTTTTCTCCCTTCAACGCCATCGAGGTCTAGTTCACGAACAATTTCTTCCACTTTGCTTCAGGGTACTCGTATTCCTAGACTGCTTGCAGTCCGCCTTTTCTCTTTTAAATCCGTCTAGTTCAGTCTTATCTCATCCAGCGCGATTGCAAACCACGACGTTTGCCGCTCGCGTGCTTAGGTTTCCGCGTGCAGTAACTTTGCAAAGAAAAATAAGAGAATGCTCGCAGTCTACGTATTCCCTTCTGCTAGAGAAAATGCTAAACGCTAGCGCTGCGGTAGCCAACAGAACTTCCAGGACCAGCTATTATTTCCACAATGGTGTTTCTTAAATTGTACTTTTTCAGCTTTCTCTTGAGTGTACTAACTGTAAGGCTTATTGTTATTGTTATTGTCATGTAGAGAATTTCAAGATACTCATTGAAATTGCCGTGACTAAAGTAGAAAAATTGCCGTGACACTTTTGGGCCACCTAGTCAACCCCTCAAGTCTTCATATATTGAGAATTGGTAGATGACGTCATAATGCACAGCATAGACGTCATTCCTCCAAAAACGCGCGAAAAAGACGTTGTTGGAATTGTAACATTTGACCTTATTGGTTAACTTGCCACCAATCACGTTATTGCATATATTTTAATGGCATACCGGAGTTTATAACGAAACGTTCAATGTCAATAAAATAGCTCAAACAACGCAAAATATTTGAAATTTTATTGTCAGAGAGTCGAGTCTACAAGAAATGGCAAACTTTGGCGATTATCCGGGAGATTTCAGACTCTAATCTGGAGACCGGGGGCGCGATCCATTCAACAGAAATTCCAACCGGTCCGACCGGGAAAAGAGGACCACCTCAAAAGGTGGACCCGTTTTTTCGAAACTTTTCCGGTTGGACCGAACCGATCCATTGAGTTTTGGATCGAAATTTCCGGAAAGTTTGGTTGAATGGATCGCGCCCCGGGAGATACGGTTCAAAATCTGGAGTTTCCCGGATTATCCGGGAGAGTTGACAGTACTGTATGTGATTATATACTTCATGGAACATCAGAAAATTGTTATATTCCTAGACTTTCACTCAACTAAACAGGGACTGCTATTGGTTGATTCTTGGTCACGTGGCCTTGACTAAAATCAAATGTATCCCGATCGTGATACATTAAACAATGTATCCCGCTCGGGATACATTGCAGCACGTGATCAAAGCATGGTGGAAAGTGGTGTGACAGAAGGCGGGAAAAACACCGCCAGGTCCAGCCAGTTTTCTTTTTCGTGAATGAACACAACAACACAAAAACGAAGCCTCAAGCTAAAAAGCAACGATTTCTAAAGTTATCCCAGAAGAAAAACAGCAGCTAGTGGAGGAAAAAGATGCAGATAATATGAGGAAAGTACTTTTGTTTGTAAATCATTCATTCAGTGGTTTTGAGAATTAAATTTGTGTTGTTATAAGTACCGAGTCGACTGTTTTGGTTCGCTCCGGTTATTACTTTTGTTGCTGTTGAAGTAAAAGTCTAGAAATATAACAAAACACTTAATGTCAGGTCCCTCGGGAAACAGGTTAGTTTTGTTTTCCCTCGAGTCCTGATGTTTCCCTCGACTTCGTCTCGGGAAACATCAGGACTCTTGGGAAAACAAAACTAACTGTTTCCCTCGGGATCTGACATTAAGTGTATAATGGCGCTTGCGGATATAAAATTACCCGGTCGTATATTATTGTGGACACTGTGGTTCTTCCAGCATAGTTTTCTCCTTTTTGACGGAGTTTACAACACGAGTTGTTCAAATGTCTTGGAGGCTCTCTTCGTTGATTTTGTTTGGACCATTGCATTTGTCGTTATCGTCCTAGTTGTATCTGATAAGCATGAGATATACAGTCTCTCGAATTTATTTCGTGTATGGCAAGTATATATTGTCATCGATATTGTGCCAGGTATAACCTGTGTCGGATTTCGTTTTTATTGGACAGCTACATATTGTTTGCCCAATACAACTATCTTGAGGATAGTGCTTTGCGTAACAGCTATCCTACTACTGCTACTGTTAACAACTGCGGATGATTCGTTCAGTTCCAAGAGTCACGGAGAACTCGTTCGAAATTTATCTGTTGCTATGGTTGCTGACCTCTTTGATGCCATCGAAATGATGGACAATGCGATGGAATACAGAGACCAGACAGACAAGGCGCATGATATTTCTATCATCTTTCTGACTTTTGGCGCCGTCATTACAATCATTGTGTCGTCATTGCAAATGGCTGAATATGAATTCATCGACGGTCTTGCCCGGGAGACCAATAAAGAACAAACTATAAAATATAAACCAACCGTTGTCCGCAACATTTTCGTGTTAGTTATAAACTTGGTAGTGATGATCGCTCGCCTGAAGGTCGTCACCGAAAATGGAAAGACTCGGTCTACATTAATCATCTTCAAGAATTTCATTGCCATTATTTTTTCTGTGATGCACATCTGCTCTCAAACACCACGCCCATAAATAAACCTTGAGGAAACTGTGTAGACTTCCTCCAACCAAATGACCTGCAAGACATCTGTAAATTTCTAATCAAATCATGGATATGTTTTACCTGAAAAGAATAGGTTTCTTTTGCTCTTTATTCAAGGAACGTCGAGCTAATCTCTTACCCAGCTCTCTTTTTTTTTTTGTTAGCGAAGCTTTCGGCTTCGTAAACAAGAGAATTGGGTATGAGATTAACGCGAGCTCTACGAAACTCCAAGAGATGTTTCTGAAACAAGCCAAGGCAAAATAGGACTCACCTCTCTCCCCAGCCCCACGCATCAGTTTGCCATCAGTTTTCACAATTTCCCCCTATTTCTTGCTCTCATTCGTCTCTCTTGCGTCTCTCGCTCGGCTGATTGGAAACAGCAACGAGATCAAAAAGGTATCAAAGACTATAGGAATCATAAGTAAAGCTTGTTTCTTTCTTTCTTCTAAATCTTTGTTATCCTTATACTAAACTTTGGTTTACTCATCTTAACTACTGTAACAATTTGCATGGTGCTCAACATATCCATCCAATTTGAATAGGATTCTCTACCTACAGAAACACGGCATCGTCAGAATCATTTGTGGAGCTGAATACCTTGCCCATACTGCACCTCTTTTTCGGACTCTTAAAAGCCTAAGACATTAATTTTTTATATTAATGCGTTTTTAATTTGTTGCATGTTTTATGTACTCATATCATAATAATCTCCTTCCTCATATGTTTAACACCACCTTTGTTACTAATCGCCAAGTACACACATATAATACTCGAAATGCTAATAAATACTGACCATATTTCTGTAGAACAAACATTAAACAGTTCACAATCCTCTATGACCTAAAATTAAACTACGGAACTCCCTTCCCCATAATCTTACAGAACTGACAAGTTACTCTAGTTTCAAGACTGTACGTTATCGAAAGAGCTATAAATTACACTTGCCTGACTATGATACGGCAGCTTACATTAAATCATAATTAAGTATGAGGAGACCCCGGGGGGGGGGGGGTTGGAAGACACCCTTCATTATAGTTTTCATAGAAGAGTATTGTCCACTCAACCTGACACGTTGTTGTCTGTCACTTAAATAATTCGTAACGAGATTGATAACTTTTGAGTCTCTACCGTAATCTTCAAGCTTCTTGACAATAAGATCATGGGGAAGGGTGTCAAACGTTCTTGACAGGTCCATAGACACCAAACTAATAACTTTGTGATTATCTATCGCATCCATGGTAATCTCTATATGCAAAGACATTATTATGATAAACATCTTCAAAGTGTGAACAAGTTTTTTAAAAACTTTGGATAAGACAGGCAGGATTGTTATAGGGCGATAGTTTGTCTTTGTTAATGTACAGTACGCAGGCACTTTTCCCGTTTCAAATAGAAAATTCGGATTCTTTGACGGCTCAAGTTGGAATTTGATCATGTCCAGTAGCTTTGTTTGTCTTAAGATTCCCCACCTTCCTTTGATCTGAATGTTTAACATTTGCAGATTCTAGAAAAGTGATTTCGTCCTCTTTTCCTTCTCATGCTAACAGCTCTGTTTCTTAGTTGGCGCCGAGTACTTTTCACAGTCTTCAACTGAAGCTTTCTTGACTTGTTGAACTGCTTTTTACAGCGATTACGCTCTCTCATCACTTCCCGTAATTCAGGATTTATAAATTGAAATTGATCGCGATGTCTTCGTCGAAACGATTTAACTGGAGCATGGTTATCCAGAGCTTCAACGAACAATTTTTCCCAAGCCCAATATACATCGTCAGGGTCATCAAAGACGTAATTGAGCCGTCGAAAAAGGAACCAGACTAAGGTCGCTACAAAAAGAGCCTTCGTCTTCGTGTATTACTTAAAGAATCCAGATCATAACTATCACAAGTACCCAGCAGACATCTTCCTCGATTATTATTATCCAAAGGATTACTAATATCACATAACATAAATCTGCGATTCCATCACGCACCATAAAATATACCCAAATATATTTTAAAACCCACTTGCACTTTCGTTTAACAGTAATCTACAACAAGCAAAAACGCATTAAGATACCATGTACAAATTAATGAATTCATGATCAAATCTTGTTATTATTATTTAAAGGTGTTTCCGTCCGGGGGGGGACTCCGCATATGAAAGGGGTGGGGATGCTCGTCGTCTCGCTTAGGGGCGTAAATTTCGGATTTTGGTCTCACTTAGGGTGTTCTGGGCAAAACGCCATCATATTTAGCCGTGAAGGTCTCGTTTAGGTTGCACATAAAAAAGTATAAAAATATGTATATTGACTGTGTTTTAAGGAGGAGGGAGGGAGGAGCCCAATTTCTACAAGCTATTTAGCTTCTATTGGGCTTCCTCACCACTCTATCTATTACAAAAATTAAGTCACTTGATATTACATTTAATTTTAAACTTTTGTTTGTAGCTTCGGCTGCCCTGTAAATTTGCAATCTTAATAATAATAATAATACATATATATATATTATTAATAATATTTATTCTATGTGGCAAATGTAAAATAAAAATAGATAAAAAATAACAAGCAAAAAGCATATCCTGGCAGAACAAAAGATACAGTCAGAATGCAACTCAAAACCACCTAATGAGTTGTCGGTATTTGTTGGTACCAAGAGACGTTGGTATCCATTAAGCTGGAAAACTCCATGGGAATACAGTGAAACACTCGCAAGATTGTATGTATATATATATCAAAAAAGGGTTTAAAGGCATGTTTATAGTGAAAAGTGCACTTAGCTTATCCAGCTAGTTTACAGGCACTCCACTCAAATACTTAGAAGCAAATAATTCAAATGCAACATAACAGGATTAAAAACTCCATCTGGCAGGAGGCAACCAGTTTTGAATCAAAGGAACTTGCCTGCCAAATACTTGATATGGCGCCGTATATAGGAAGTAAGATGTCCATGATATCTTCCTTTCTTTAGAAACTGATGGCCTGGAGAGTTAAGAAGGAAAGATCACCTATGACAACCGTGAGAAGTCTCTGTCTACCCAGATTCCTCAAGACCTGAAGAAATGGAAATGTTTCTGCCCAAGTTCAAGTTAACACAGCAGTTTAGTCTGAATGATGTTTTGTCAAAAATGGGAGCAAGTGAAATGTTCATTGCTGGAAAGGCAGACTTCAGTGGTATCACAGCAGATTCACTGTATGTTTCACAAGTGGTTCATAAAACCTTTATTGAGGTGAATGACGAAGGCACAGAGGCTGCCGCTGCTACTGGTATTGGAGTCAATGCATTGAGTTTAAAGCCCATGTTTAATGCCGACCATCCATTTTTGTTCTTTATCCGCCACAATGATACTGGTGCCATACTGTTCATGGGTCGTCTCCTGAAACCAAGTGAAGATTGATGTCTCATTTATCAATCCTTTCTCATAAATTAAATTAAACTAAACTCGATTAAATGAGTTTCCATCAACTGAAGTCTTTTTTGTAGGTGAAAATGATTTCACATTAGAGCAACAAAGGTGCCTTGACTGGTTGGTACCAGCTAAGCTATGTGGGTAGTTTAATGCTCCGGGGGGGGGGGGGG